GTTGTATCAAATATGTTTAATGGAGGTGGTGTTATATTTTAATTGCCTGTAGAGCTTGATTTTTTTGTTCGCGAAGAAGATGGGCAATGTAATTAATTGGGGTTGTAAGTAAATTGTTTATTATTATTATTATTATTATTATTATGTTCTGGCCCAAACCTTTTGTTACACAATGTGATTATGCTGATATTTACCAAGTTTATCCATTTATAACACTACTGGAGACATAGCTACTCGTACATGAGAATTACATTAATGATGTCATTGGGTATTAATGATGCTTGGTAAAGATGTAGTGACGTGGTTAGAATATGGAATAAAACTCTCGATACTATAGTAATAGCGATGAAAATATATTTATTTCTAAAAGTTAGGAATCTATTGTTTTAGCACGAGCCTGACAATAATAATAAAGTCATGATAACAAAACTGCGGCCTGACATTCTGGTGAAACAGCACAGAAAATAACGACATACAGTTGACGCGCTGTCTATAGTAAACCGAATCTAATAAACTTGTCATATCGTTATCGTAAAATTGGTTATACTCCATATTTGTCAGAGGGGTCGCCAGGAAAAAAGATCAAATACTCTCGATCAATAAGCAGTATTATTCCCAATGTTAAAGAAAATAATAGTGAACGGATTGCAACAAGCTTATTTCTTTTTGCTAAAAAAATGATTAGCTTTTGATACACTATGACTAACATATATGCATACATCATTTTGATAAGAATATATAATGCTAATGTACGGGAGGTAAGAAATAATCGGATTGGAGATTTGAACTGTAATTAATAGTCGAGCGACTTGTCGTCGTCGTCGTCGTCGTCGTTGTTAGAAAAAACGGCGGACAACTTTTTTTTTACTGTTGTCTTTCTACCACTAATACTATGGATATTCTGTGACCGAATTATTATTCTCTAGAATTTGGGTATTGACGCTTTGCCGGCAGAGTGGGGAGAGCAAAAGAAATTTTATCTTCTAACAAGCATCCTAATCGTCTGTAATCGCGGTTCTCTTTTTCTTTTTCGGACTTTACTGCTTCGGCTAAAAATTTAGTGCTAAATAGTTTAAATAATCCAATAATCTATCAGCTTTTTTGTGTTTAGTTTCTCAACTACTAGCTGATTAAGCCTGACTATTGTGCTGATTATTATTCTTATTTCAGTGCGGATTAAATTTGTTCTAAATTAGTAACAAAATTTAGAGCATGAATTCCACCAGCAATAAGTGGTAATCATTCTAACATTTCTTTGACCGACTTAATTGGTCGCAGTAATAATAAAGGATGAGGCACACCACGGCAAAAAAGAAAGCATGGGCAAATTCTTAAGTGTTATACTAGTAAGTTGGGTTTTTCAACAATCGATTCTTTCTAAACTAGGAAAGTCGGTAATAACCGAGTTTCCTCCTAGACTGTTTTTACTAATGTCCAGTCAATTTATTCATTCTCTTTTGTTTAAAGGATATTTATTATCTAAACATTTCTGAGCATCTCGGCTTGTTTTTTTAGTTATGTTTATCAATTTTTTGAGGGTCATATCCTTTTCCTATTAGATAAGCGATAATCACCCGGAGTTAAGCCAGATTTAATTCATTTCTTAGTTTCATGATAACCAAAATTTAAATCCTCTTGTCTTTCATTCATTAAACTCTTCATTGTTGTTATCGATAAGTTATTAGTGGAACGTACGCGTAGTAATAGTAAGCACAGTGGAGACAAAAAGTTTTCGAAATGGCGTTTTTGTTAATTGTGCAACGAAAAATGCTAAAACTCTGCAGACATGCTCTTTATAACATGACAAACCATTTTATTTATTGCCCCTTAACAGCTTATATTATTACCATTCCCATCTGTTATTTCATTCAATCTTGACGGCATGCTATCAAATTAATGTAAGTTTTTTTTTCAATATTTTCCCACTCCTTCTAAATTATTTTGCGAAAGGCCTCAATTGTGACTTTTTGGTTTTTCACCAGTATTCGATTGACCTTTTTTTTTTCAACCAGTGTCTTTAAAATTTGCCGCAAATTCTCAATCGGATTAAGATCTGGGCTATTTGAGAGCAGATTTTTGGACACTGCCGCGGCGCGAAAGCTCCTTTGTTGCTTTAGCTGTGTGCTTAGGGTCATTATCTTGTTGAAAGACCCAATGTTACCCATGATCTTATTTGCATTGTCAAACAAATTTTCAGATAAGATTTTTCGATAAAGCACCATCCGTGATATCTGATATGCATTATTCCGAAAACCTTTTGCCTCCACTGTATATTTGAGAAAATATTTCTGTGCAATTTGACGTACAATAAAGTTACATTATTATGATGGTTGTTGTCGTGTGAATAGATCATAGTTTGCACGCGATATGTATTTCATGATTGGTTTTCGATTTAATAAAGTAATAAACGGGATGGGATAAAGTTGATGTTATTATTTCGGTTATTGTGTAGGAGTGAAGTATTTTTAGTTGTAATTTTAATTTAACAAGGCATGGTGAGTATTTCGTGTATATACGGTTAGAGTTGCTATTGTGGAAAGTTTTTATTATTTCAAACATCGGAGTGTTTGACAGTATGAGCTGTCCATTTTTGAATAGAAATATTAATTAATATAATTTGATAAAAACATAGCCTACAACAAATGTTAGAAATACTAGCACGGGAAAAGAAAACGGTGGTAATATTTTTGTATAGGATATTGAACATTTTATTGGGTGGTTTATTTTCGACCGGTTTGACTGGTGTGTTGACTTTGGATGTATTATTAATGGTGGTTTAATTGTACCGAGAAACAGTAACGTTGTATAATGCAGTAATTTTGTGTGAAAGCATAAGACGTTTATGGTCTGTGTTGAATATAATGTGTTGATATAAAGATTATAACGGGTTTATTATGATTTATCGGTATAACGGGTAAAAATTCCTATGTAAATTTTGGGAGCGAAAGTTGCTTTTCCCCAGAATATATTTTTATCTCATTCCGGAACGTAACACGTATTTTACATGAAGTTCATATGTGTAGTGAATGTTGTTTTCCAGAATATGTGATTCCATGGCATATTTTTTATCCAACTGCTACTGATATCTGTTGTGAGTAGATAAAGTTGTTGAATAATCCAATATATGTGTAGCTGAGAATATAAATTCTGAATACACTGACCCCCATCTGCTGAGCGCCTTTTCCTATTTTCTGTTATTTTAAGCTATACGTTTCAGTCGCTTGAATAGGATATAATGTAACGATCTTTACGATGATAATATCCGACAGTCAAGACTTGCAATTATACGAAAAAGAAGATGAGGATATCTAAATTTAAAAAGGGATATTTCGAGTTTGTGAGCTGGGATTGGATTTATACGAGTAATGTATCAATTTCTGTGAGGTTTGGTTTTGTACTTGTTAACAGATGGTGGGCAGTACGCTATAAATCAAACTGCATGCAAGTTAATTGCGCATTTTACATTGCGCTTTAATAGGATATAATGCAACAATCTTTTTTGGTGTCTTTGACGATGATCATATTTGACTTGGGATGCATACAAACTTGTACACAAAAGAAGAGGGAAGCATTTAACTTGTGTCTTCAAACTGTGCCTTGAGATTGAACTAATTCAATGACGTTATAAGTTTTGGTTTCGATCGATGACTTTTTCTTGTCGAAAATGAAATAATCGTATTTGTTGATAGATGGTGGGTTTTCGAACTAATGGGTTGCTTTGTTGAGACGCTCGGCGATAATGAAGGACAATAGAATTCAAATATTAATAGAGTTTGAGTCTACGGTTTTATTAAATACTTTTGATGTATATGGATACTTTTCGGAATTTATCATGTCATTCTAAAACACTCTCTCGAATTATTCCACCTCTCAACAATGTATCCCTCCCTCCGCAATTCAACAATTAAATCAAACGTTCGAATGAGAAATTCGATCTTGTTTTGCACGCTCTATGTGCACTATGGATAATTAATCAATTTGCCAAATATTTGTGTCGAACTTAAACGACAGTGGGAGACGGGCTCACGAACGTCAAAATGATGTAACAAACTGAGGAACGGCTCCACGTTCAATCCGCATAACGACAAACTTATATCACGTGATTACAATGCTAAACTCTACTAGCTCATTCGATAAAATTTCCTTTTATTCAAAAATGGGCCTGACTGACTCGCGGCCACTTCCAGTCATGGTTGACAACACTAACTGTAAGTTGGTTTTTTGTTTATTTAAATTATTTTTTTGTTGACTATGGTTGAATGAAAAAGATGTTCTGTTCAATAGCAGTAGCATTTATGTATTGAAATACTTTTTGCTGTTATAAAAGTCACTGCAGAAGAGATCCAGCGCTTATACAAGCGCTTCATGAAACTTGACAAGGATCGCTCCGGGTCAATTGATAGAGAAGAATTCTTGGCCATTCCACAGATAGCCAATAATCCTCTCGCGTCGAGAATGATTGCTATATTTGACGAGGATGGTGGTGGAGATGTGGATTTTAAAGAGTTCATTTCGGGTTTGAGTGCCTTTAGTGCGAAAGGCAAGAAAGATGAGAAACTATGGTGTAAGTAAAAGACGAGTTCGAACTATGTGATTGTGGGAATGAGACTGGAATGTAAACGAAATAACAGGTCTCTTTGGAAGCATGTCATAAGTACTGTTACAGTTTGACTACATTCAAGTACAATCTATTAACCGCTTATCCAACAACAGTCGCCTTCAAAGTCTACGATATGGATCGTGATGGGTATATTTCCAATGGCGAACTCTTTCTTGTTCTCAAGATGATGGTCGGTAATAACCTCAAGGATAATCAGCTTCAACAAATCGTCGACAAGACCATTATGGAAGCTGATAAAGACATGGATGGAAAGATTTCATTCGATGAATTCCGTGCTGTAGTGGAATCAACAGACATAGCCAAGAATTTAACCTTGACCGAGTTCTAAATATACATTATCATTAAATGGTGGATTTTGGTGGTTGTAATATATTTTTGTTTAATGCACACTCTCTCTTACTTTGAGACGAAGTACTGAGAGGATATAAATAGTTCCGTTGTATGGATCCAATAATGGCTTACTACTCATTGCTGTAATAGCATACATAGCACCAATATATTTATTACCTCAAAAGGTTTAATTTTTAACGAGTCCTATACTGAAAGCATTTTGTTGACTATGCCTTAATGAGAAGAGGTGCAAAAGTAAGGTTAGCTTGGCAATTATTAGAATGCACGGACAATGTTAGTACTCACCAACCACGTTCCGAACCTTGTCGTCAGAGACTTTTGTTGACACGTGCTGAATGGCTTTCTCGACGCCCAGCATTACGGTTGCTTCTTTAGCTGCTTGGTTCTTGCTAATCTGTTAGATAGAACTACTGGTAAGCTGATAAATTCATCAATCGAACCAGAGGAATGGAGGCTATCATCTATCAACTTACCAGCGTTCCCAGTGTCACAATCGTCCGGTAAATTGCCTCAGGATCAGCTGTAGATTCCAGGATCTGAATAACAACATGTCAGTTGATTAAACGGTAACCACCAAACTGCAATTCACGGCAATTCTTCTACAAACCTCAATAATTGCTGCTATCATTTGGAGCATTGCGTCTTCATCAGGCCTTTCCAGATATGCTATGGAATAACTATCATAACAATTAGTATGTCAAGTTCAATATACTGACGTGACATAGTCAACATTTTACTAACTTGAGTAATACAGTAATCAGCGCAAGTCGTACACCCTTGCCTGAAATATAGCTCCACGTTGGAAATATCTTGTCCAATACCTGTGAAATTTATAGAGTGAATCAACCATACTCAAACTAGTTCTTGAAAGACTGAATCATGCATCACATACAGACGATCCCTTGTTTGTTAGTATTTCTCTTCCGATTTTTGTCTCAAACAGATTGGCAATGGTTCTTAGGCCCATCGTTAAATTAATTTCTTGCTCTTTGGTAGCAGAAGCACCTTTTGGAAATGATTCAAAATCAACGGCATCGTATACCAATTGGAGTATCGATTCGTCCGAACTAGTGACTGGGATTGGAGCGCGTATAACATGAAGACGGAGTAAATCGAGACCTGTTTATGTGTAAATGTATGAACGCAAATAATATTAAGAACGTATTGCTGAACGTAAGTTAACTCGAGATGTAGTAAATATTATTTCACCTGGAAACCGCTTCTCATAAGGCCATGAGGTCATTATCTTTTTTATAACTGACAATCCTTCCTGTCGTTCTTTTGCATTGTTTTGACTATTGGATGGATCTTGGAGATAAGAGATTAAGACTTCTAAAGATTTCGTTTCCTCGGCTGTTAGATTTAGCCCTTGAGGTTGTAAATCCGCGCTGAACTGTTGTATTTTCTTGAGGATTGGCGGCAGATTGGCTTGTTTGTAAGTCATGAATGATTTCTAAGAAGTAGATAGCTGCATGTAAATTAACCGTCATCTATAAATAGACTAATTTTGATACAATATAACTCACACAGGGAATAACCGGATCTGATGTTGCAGCTTTTTCCGAGTTGGTCGACCCCGTCCATGGATCAATTCCGGCAGCGACACGACCCTTTGTTTTAGCTAATCAATTTAGTGTCCACAAATTCGTCACTATTATTAACACATTCATGCTCACCGGAGCGCTTTGATTTCCGCTGGTAGAACTGGTTGAAGTTCCGGCATCGGTATATCTTGATGTGCCAGTATAAGGATCAACGTTTCCGGGACCCGCTCCTAATGACACACCCCTCGTATTTTGTATAATGAAATTCGCTACTTGATCCAAGTATGACTGAGACAACTTATTAGCCCAAATAAATTGCTGAGCTGCTTGATATGGATTTTCTTATGAATATAAAGAGAAATAATGTCAGTAGTTTCAGTAGTTGTTGTCATGTCTATTCATTAAATGTCATTGATAAGAATATCTAAATGTACCAGTAGTATTATAAGGAAGTTTTAACGGAGGTATTCCTTCGCCAATATCGACAGTAAATACGTAATCGTATTCTCTGCCGTTGTAGAGTTGCCTTCTCTCCTGTCCAACTGCATCTACAACTTCACCGATTTTAGCCCAACTTTGATCTGCTGAACTCCACTATAAATATGATGAAAAATACACGCGACAACTAAATATTATACGACACAAAAACATATGCTAAAAGAAGCTTTAATTAGACTAACAACAATCTTATACTCATTACCTGATACGCTTCCACTTTAATTCCGTCTTTAACCATCAGGACTTGACCTTCCTTTGTTCCTATTATACGATTGAGTTTAGTAACTTAATAATGCACAAGTTGTCTGGAGGACAATACTATGTCTAACCTGGCGTTGATAAAGCTTCTTTTCCAGGGAGATTATCTCTTTTCAAATCTCCAACCTGATTACTTGTGATATATGAATACATATCTTAGAATGATTGTCAGAACGCTCCAAGAGTATAATATCAATCAGATACGCAGCTTACGTTGGAATGGCTTGACTCGCGAGAAGCTCGTTATATTCCTATATATTTCACAAAACTTGGATTATTGACCTAGAATTTCAACATAGGCAACATGCGTGTTCTTTTTCAAACCTTCAATTTCTCTGTATCAGCTATCCTCTCTGGTATACGAGAGAATACGCGCACTGCTCCATCGCTAGCACCACTAATGATATCTCCGTTAGGCATGGCTGCTGTGCACCACACAGATATTGCTGGATGGAAAATGGTCTGTACACAGTCACCATCTAATAACAGAAAGAAGTAACAATAAGTAAGAAAAACGTCACATCAAAATGAGAAGGACAGTTTGAGGCGAGGCGTTCACATACCCTTCCATACTTTTACAGCTCTATCTTCTCCACTGGATATAATTTCACCTGTAGGCAAAACGTCTACTGAGTAGACAAATGATTGATGGCCATAGAGCTCCTGTAAACATTGACCGTCCAAATTCCAGATTCTTAGCGCACTATGAGCGTAGTAGATATATAAGAACATTAGGCATCAAATTTGATTATTGACTCAAAATTTTTGTTATGCCAGCACGTTGTATCCATGGAACTTTATCACCTGTCATTACCGCAGGAAACAAATCCTACTCCTTTAATTTCAGCAAGAGATCTAACGCAATCAGTATGTCCATAAAACGTCTTTGTACGTACTCCATCATCCCATCTAATAATCGTTTTATCAGCCGAAGCTGTAAAAGCAAATAAACCTCGGTCAGTATAATTAGAAGCAAATAGTGCTATGTCAATACATAGTACTTCTTTTTCATATGTACATATGCAGATGCATATTTCTTATTTCTCATATTGCTTCATGTCATATTACTTCATGTCATATTGCTTCATGTCATATTGCTTCATGCAACCCCCAAACGCCACGTACCAGTAATTATAATTTGGTCCGATATGGCTAATACTGCCCATACAGCGGCTTCATGCCCCTTTAACGTATAAGCGACTTGTTTGTCCCGCCATAGCTTCGATGTTCTAATCTCAAATACTAATTAGCATGAATTAAAGCAGCATATCTTCTTGGGTAAGCGATCACGGACCGTCAATCAACATACTTATCCCACGATCCAGAGACTATGTGTCCGGACGGTGTGATATCAAGAGCACAAACATTGTCAGCATGATCAATCAACGAAAATATCGGATCGCCTGCATTTTCGACATCCCAGATATAGATAATCTTATCACTGCTTCCACTAACAATTAGGCCTATGCGTTAAGCATGCACATAGGTTGCAAATTATATATGTACACACGTTATTAATATCCATTTATATTGGCTGCAAGGTCAGATACTCAGACATTCAAAATAGGACACATACCTAATGGATATTCTGCACTTGGGCCAATATAAGCAACCGAGTTAACAAATCGCAAATGTCCCAGGAATATCTTAGAGTCACCAAAGACGTTCGGTGCAGTTCTAAACCACATGCGAACTGATTTATCTCGTGCAGCAGAGATAACCATGTCTTCGCTGGCGCCGCACACTGCTTTTACCTATTATATAAGGATATTAGAAATTATAGAGGAATTCAGGATATAATACATGATAACATACATCTTGCTCATGTCCTGACAGGGAAGCAGCTAACTGGAAAGGTATATAGTCTTCTGACATTTCGTTCTCGACGTGCTCTTAATCGTGATGTTCCTGGTTGTTGTTTGGTAATAATGGTACATCACGTGGAAATACTATTCTTTTTCCGGAAATGGGCAATCAATAGTAGTTATTGATCTGGCAACTACTATCATGTGATACTCATGACATGACTTTATTTCTTATGCTTATAGAGACATTGGCAGAGCAATAAAGAATTGACTTTTTTTTTTTAAAAAACTGGAGCGGACCATAAAGACGCGCATTTATTGCAACTTGGGATTGCGAATTTGTCTTGATCGTAGAGAATGCTAAAAGCGCAGACAAGCAGAGCAAAGCTTTGAATATAATAAGTAGACATTATTTAGAGACATGGCACATCGCCCGCAAATGACCACATGCAAAGAATATAAACGTTTCGGAAACTTATTGCGTGATTCTGATTATTCTGACATCGCATTTATGTGAATTTAATAAACTAATGCGAGTAATTATTTATCTTCAACACTACATTTTGGAAACCGCTTCAGATATTCTCAAGCCTGATGAGTTAATACCTCATGATATGTCTTGTAGGGGAACATGAGAAACGGCACGAAAGCGGTGTATGCGTGACTGTATGTGGAATCGTAATCATTTTGAACCTGCTTATACTTACTATGGGGCCCGCGCTAAAATATTCAATGGATCGACACAAGTTATGGTCACGTGGTGAAACACAATCGAGTGCATAAAAAACCGTTGAATCTGGTAAACTTGCGCTGGACATGGATATCGCAAACGGATTCGAGGATTTACTAGCGAGTACTGTTAGGGCTAGAGAGCTGAAAGAGCAGGTGTGACATTAACCAAAGCTGTGATTAGCAAAAGAGGGGTTAGACTTGCAAGAATTAAGACACAACGCTTGAATAAGAAGGGAACAATAGGAACACGCATTGTAAACACGCGTCTTCACGAGTATAGTACTCATTTTTTTAGGAGGAACAGCTGGAAGCAAAATCTTTAGACGGTCATTATCTTGGGTATGTGCGAAGAATTATTACAATGATGAAATCTTCTATATGGATCTCTCTGTCATTGAGCACTGTCTATTTACATTACAAGTACCAGATGAACAATAATCATCTAGAATCCTTGAATTCTTTAATTGCGTCAATAAATCACCAACTAAATCGTCACTTACTATAAACGTATTAGAATCTATGAACGGGTGTCAAGTCGAAATGCTAATAAAAGGAGAAAGGTCAAAGGATTATCCTCGAAGTCATCTGAAGATACTGTAGTAGATTTTGAGCTCGAATTGGAGAATTCAGAAATAATGAACAAATTAGTAACAGAATTTGCAAAGGTCGCTCCGACACTTGAGAAAATGGTAAAAGAACGACAACCTTTTACGAGCGGGTTGCTAGGGTTATTAAAGAGTTGTATAACTATCAGCCGAGATTGCCTACAAGCAATGTAGTTTAAGCATTTAGCTTAGAGCACAACAACGCATCCAAGTCCTCCAAATTCCGTTTTAACGTATTGTGTATTTTATCTTCCCGCATTCTCAGAACAAAACCTTTCAGTATATGAAGAAAAGCATAGACTCCTCCCCAACCTCGACATCGCGAATCTCTTTGATTCTTTCCATCTTTAGCAACTTAATTTCCGACTATCAACTCTCATCTTCCTTTCCCACCCCTCAAATTACCATTCCGCAAATATTTGGATATCTGACCCATTGGCTGAAAAATGACATGCAGCACTTGTGGGTAGGCATTACGTCCTTCGTGTTGATCATGTTGAGACAATACCCAAGAGCTATTGTAGAGATAAGCCCAACAACAGCAATGACGTTTATTAAGAAGATGATGGAACAGATAAATGTACTACCGGTGAAGTTGAATAAAGGGCAGATGAGATGTGTGGAAAAGGGACAAGAAGTTATTGAAGCCTTCTTGACGGGGAAGGGTTGTGGTGGAGTTGGATGTGTTTCATATTATCACATTATTCAAGAGGTGAGTTGTCAACTGATATGTTCGCGGAATCGTCCATTTGCTAACACACTGCTGTGTATACTTATCAGTTTCCAGTAATATTCGGAGCTCCTGTTAACGGTCATTTCGAAAACATTCATTGGACAATGGAGCCATTTGTGCACGAGTTATGTAAACGCCGTAGACGTCTTTCGTTCATCATGATGCCGCCTGGTAATCTTATATTATAAGGTTCATGTGTCAGTACTTTATATATTCAAATGCTAGACTTACTTTGTTTTATCGTTGAAGATGCATCATGGCCATTAGTATCTCAATACAGGTATCACATTGGCCTGCACATTCAGTCAATCACATATATTTTACAACTCTAACACTGGCAATACGAACTAATAGTCGAGATCATGAATACAACGACCTTGCAAGCATAGATTCAAACAGAGTATTTGCTCCTGACTATGTAGGTCTTACACATAATCTTTTTACGGATAACCCGTTCTTCTTTGATTAATCTTTGTTTCCTATATCAGGATCAATTTGTTCAAGAAGGCTGTGCGGCAAGCTTCACTTCTCGTTTCCGTGATTTGTTTTTTCAGCGTGCTTGGATAGAAGAAGTTCGTATAATGGCCAAGAAGGTTAAAGGGACCCAGTATGGATTAGAGCCTGTACGAGCCGCCATATTTGAGAAGGCTAGAGACATTATTATATATATACAAGAGAATTCCAAGTTCAATGAGAGACGACAAGATGCATTCGGAGAACCTCGTAAGTAGGCGATTTGTGCGTTCACACGTGATGAATGACCGTTATTTACTATGCGTTCGGCGATTTAGGTAATCAAAGTACAGTAACCGAACAAGTACTAATTCCAAACAATTTGGACTATTGGGAGTTGATGATTGAGGTCGCTGATCAGTTGTACAGTTTGGTTGGAACAGAGTAAGATCGATACCAAAGCTCAGTATTATGTCTGATTCATGCTTTTAAAATACATATTGGCTCATTATTTTACCTCCATTAGGAACTATGTGAAGTATGAGGAGGCGCTCACCGAATTTTGTCGAATGGTTCGTGTAGGCGATAACGATAATCGCCCTCAACTACAGAAAGATAATGCGCTTATCTGGCTTTTACTGCAACTATCTCGTATCCTGCTGCTTATGTAAAAGCTGAAATATATAGTTGAGTTGTGATCTACTTATAACCTTAATTCAAATGCAAACATTTAGATATCGAAAAAGTGATGAAGGAGACAATATCAGTGGATCTTAGCAAAGATGAGAAACTATTTAGAATGCTATCTAGTTTATATAATGAAGAGCAAATTACATCTAAAGATGCCTTTTATTTAAGAGATTTGTCACTGCAATGCTTTGTTAGTATAATAAGACACCCAAATATATTACGCGTCTGTTCTTGTAACCTGTATTCACTCATATTTTAGAATCGTGTTGGCGTTAATTTACAAACTCTTCTTCTAACCAATTATTTATCTCTGTTTAGATGGCCTATCATCAACATTCTCTTAATACGACTAATTTGAAATATAGACATCCAGAGCTGTTTTCGGCTCTACCATATAGCAAGGTCTGTGGGGATCTATCTAAGTATGTTTTCTCTACATACAAGGGTATGTATTCTATTTTGTTTATTGTTTTGTATACCCATGTTGCGTAATAACTGTTGAGTAATTGGTCATAACTTTATTACAATCTAAAATACCAATACTGAAGGGAACATTGGCAACATTGACTTGTTTCGTAATATCCGATTTGAGGAAATAATAAAACTGGCCATTGTCAGTGAAGCAAGAGAGAGTCTTGTTGCAGACACATTACTTGCCAATCTGATATCGCCAAAATTGGAATTGGGGACGTTAGCATTTCCATCCACAAAGTATTTGAAAGGAGGGAGTGCTACATATAAACTATTAGACTACATCGGCCTTCATGCAAAAAATAGGTATAATTGACGGATTGAGAACTTCTGTAAAATGTTCTATGCATATTTATTTATAACTAAGAAAGTCATGTTTTGCTGGTTACAGATTATCATTTCTAATCCTTAAAATGTCATTCGATGAAAAAGGGCCTACATCCTTCTCTCATGACTCTCCTCAAAAGGAGCATAACAGCGCTTCACCTTACGTGTTAGACGCCTTATTCAAGATGCTTTATAGCGCGCCGTGGTCGTAAGTATTGTTATGTGATTAAATTTGGACAAGATCTAGGAATAACATTGAACTGTATGGAATGCCATCCTTCACTTTATTTTATATAACCGTTATTTTTCAATCAATAACCATTAGGTTGTCGCAAATAATTACTATCATATTTGATCGACTCAAAAAGTACGATAAAGCATTAAAAGTAAAGGCTGAGGACGGTTCAGCACTTCCCGAACAATCACTTCGTTGGACGCACACAATATTGGAACTGTTCAATTATAGACTACTTCGATTTTTCAAACAATATACGAAAACGCCAGACTTACTTAACTTTGTTAAGTATTCGTTGTCTCACTTGAATCATCGACAGACTTTCAGGGGAGTTGAGATGTTTGCTATATGTTCAATGGTAACTAAGAAATATGTAAAAACTATATTATCTTGACTATAAAACATCCTATAGTATTTACTAAGATTACAATTTATTCGCTTTGAAGGTGCTACAGGTGGACGTAAAATTCATTCGCTCTATTGGAGAAGCCATTCGCGAAAAGTCTATTCTGTTTCCAGAATCAGAAATGTTAGCGAGAATACTAATCACGACTATCGCAAGAATTGTAAAATTCAGGTATATAAATATGCAGAATCTCACAATCCTCCTATTTTTTAGTTTATATGAATTCCATATTAATAATCTTCTTGTACATTGTATAAATTATAGAGGAACATCCGATCTCCAAGCAGATCTACTTTCTAAAGTACTAACGAACATATATCCTTATTCTCTCGAGTGGTCCCCAGCTGTGTTTGATTTCTTCCCAGAACCTGTAAAACAGATACTTAAGTCCCAACAAGCCGGGAATGCTTTTCCACTT